ACATCGTCAGCAAGGCCGAATATCCATGGTTCGAAGCTTCTGCTCTGCATTTGGTGGGATCAGCTAGGTGTAGTTTATTACGAGCTGCTCAAACCAAACGAAACTATCACGGGAGATCGCTATCGACTACAATTGATGCGTTTGAGCCAAGCATTGAAGGAAAAACGGCCGCTATATGAGCAGAGACACGACAAAGTGATTTTGCAACATGACAATGCTCGGCCACATGTTGCACAACCGGTGAAAACGTACTTGGAAACGCTTAAATGGGAAGTCCTATCCCACCCGCCGTATTCACCAGACATCGCCCCTTCGGATTATCACTTGTTCCAATCGATGGCACATGGCCTGGCTGAGCAGCACTTCCATTCTTATGACGATCCCAAAAAATGGGTTGATTCTTGGATAACCTCAAAAGACATGTCGTTTTTCCGACGTGAAATTCAAATGCTGCCAGAACGATGGGAGAAAGTAGTGGCTAGTGATGGACAATACTTTCAGTGACGTGTTTATTACAACTTTTTTAAAATAAAGTGTTAATTTTCACAAAAAAACAGCGAGAACTTATTCAAGGTCCTTATAAATCCAAGTTTTAATCACCACATTTACTCAAATCTAAATACACCTTAATTTCCACATGCTTACCCACAAATTTTTTTAAACAAACAACTCAAGACAAATTTATGATAAAAAAACTGATTCTGTTGTGGAAGCTGTGGAAGCAGTTTCCCTTGTATTTTCTAAAATATAAATACATATTGTGCAATTATTTTCATATTTTAACATACTTTGAATTACTTAAAATTAATATTTTATTATAACTGCATTCTGTATCTTATTACAAATTTCTATACATGTGAAATGATAAGATTGCTATTCTATATTCAAATATGAATTCATATATGCATATTCCCAATGGAAGTTCTGTATTGTCGAATACAGGATAGCTTCCATAACAAAAATATCTGAATTTTGTAAAGCAGCCAGATTATATTCATTCACACATGCACTTTACAGAGCACCTACCTCATGCAATTTAGCTCATGGATGCTACATGCCAAAATATCATATAATGCTTCCAATGATTCTATCCAAGTCCGTCACAGCTTCCCTATCATCAAATGTCACTACACACCACTGATATATATATATGTGACATATGACAGTGATATATATATATATATCACTGTCAGTATATATATGTATATATCACTATATATATATCACTGTCTTCCATGGTATCAAAATCAAAAATCTCTTCACTTGCCTTGTTAGGCTCTTCTGAATCAACACTAATATTGTTTTAGTTTCATTCCTGAGTATTAGTTTTAGTTTTAGTTAACTAAAACTAAAACTAATGATGTTATTATATATACATGAATGCATGAGGCATATTTTTTCAGATGTTAGTATCTCTGAAAATCGGATGCACATTCAAAAGTGTCTGAGATTCAATGTAATATGTCATAGTTAGTAATCTCTACTGTTATAAATCTTATTTTTAATTCTATTGTGTTGTTTTAATGATTTTATTAGACCAATATTAGTAGTAGAAAATATTTAAGGAGTCAACTTAGTTCTGTCTTGTTAGTATAATACAGTAGCATCATAACCATTTAGATTAAAATCCAGAAAAAGTTGTGCAGCACACTTTCAAGAAACATTGCATTTTCAATGCTTTAAAAGGTGCTGAGTATGATTGCATGTAGGTAGATGTGAACATTGAATCCAGTGTTGGTAATAATAGTTTTAGTTAACTAAAACTATTTAACTACTTAAACTTGGGTCTTGAAAGCTGATAAATTTCTGCTAATTTTCTCATTTCTATTTAATGACTATTGAACTATTCAGAAAAAACTGTCAATTTTGGTGTATCTTCTTCATAATGAATAAGAACTAAGCAATTAACTTTTACATCTCTATTGCTGAATACTGTAGTATCTACACATAACCTACTTAGTAAAGTCAACAACAATGACATTAATAACAATTATTTTATTTACTGCTTATTTACTCCATGTGGTATGGTAATCATTCCTACCAAAAGCCATATAACCACCCCAATTTCATCTCAACCCAGGTAACTCTTCAAACATCTAATACACTACAGATATTATATTATCTACATTAAAATCTTTTCCTGATTAATTTTTTTCAAATGTATTTTAGAATTTATTATTAAAAAGTAAAAAATCAATATATTTAATAATAATGAAAAATGAACTTTTTAAAATTGTTTTGAAACAACAGTTTGTCCAAGTTGTTTCAAACAGCTATTTCAAAATAATTAAGACTCATGACTCAATAATTATTATACTAGTAGGCCATAAAGTGTTCTGTAGAAATTTTAATGACTAACCTAATTATATACTGTATGTTTAAAACAATATCCCTAGCTTAACTGTGCATGTTTCATTTTGTTTACACAAAAAAGCATTATTTTTTTCAATTTGCTAATGAAATCAAAACTAAAGACAAATTAAAATAGTGATGACATTGCTTTTTTTGTTTTTAAACAAAATTTCTACACTACATTTTAAAACAAATTTCTACACTACATTGTAGTGTAGAAATTTGATTTAAATTAACTAAAATAATACTTGTGTACTATTTATATTATTATTAAATAATATCTTCAAATTCAGTGAATTCTGGCACCATACTGTCACTATTAATAAATAAAACTGCTTTTCTTAAAAGCTAAAGTTTATTAGTAAACAAGGAACATTTTTTGCTTGTCTTACACCAACATCAACTTTATCTGCAAATATCCAAAAACTTACAAACTTATTATAAATCAAACTACAATAAATCAACAAATACATATTAAAAAATAGTATTTAAAATTATAATAAAAGTAGTAATAAAATCTTTTCTAATTAATAATGGAAGATTTGAAAGCAGTAGGTAATATGGGTAAGATATTAAACAGGTGTTTAATAACAGAAGGGTGTTAAGTTGTTTAAATTATTTAAATGTAGAAATAAACTATGCTTTTTGAGATTGACCAAAGTTATTAAATAACTTTCAAATTATAACAAAAGTAATAAAATTAATTTTTTTGTAACATTTTATAAACAGTAATTGGATAAACAAAATAGAATTTTACCATCCTTTTGGATGGTCTAACAATTACAATATACAGAAAATCCTTGTTAATGCAAACTCAGATAGTTTTAAATCCTGTTAGTTCATAACTGTACTTTTGTCCCAGCCGGAGATATAGGAATTTACAAGTTAAAGAATTTGGACAGTTTGAAATAGGGCTACTTCAAAATTCAAAGTGATAATTCTGTCCAAATTGTGCCATGCATATGTTAACTCATTCATTTAGATCAAAATACTTCCATACTATGAGAGAACAATAGACTAAGAATAACTTTAATCTGGTCAATATGTCTTCACTTTTACAGAAACACATTTTTGGGTGTTACCTTACCCACAGACTATCCTTTTTTCTTTTATTTTTCATAAAATACAGTTGGTTTTTGGGATTGAAAGATTGGGCTATGAGTAGCAGATTGAGATATTTGTTGGGGTCTAGGCTACTAGACTTGGACAACTTACTACCTTTTTTGGGGTCACTTTAAAAATAGTTTGGGCTACATTTCAAGGAATTCTGCTTCACTTTTTATAAAACTTATCTGGCAACCTGTGAGGTTCTCACCAGATACATGCTGTTTATCTGCAGTTTATTTATATTATTATTAATTATTAATTAACAAAAATAGCATTCTGTATAAGTAGTCAAATTCCATTTGCTTAATAAATTACATGTTATGTGTCATTTGGCATATATAAAAATATGTAAATCTCAGATAATTCAAAATTTGATAATTTGAAGTTGCGATTATTTCATCCCCTGAATTTTGAACTAACAAGGATTTCTGTATAAGATATTTATCATATGAAGGGATTCATCTTTGGTCAAACATGTATAATTATTATTTTTGATATTTAATACACTTTAGGGAGTTTGGTCTCAAAAATTCCATTTTTTTCTATTTCACTTATTTTACAATTACATTTACAATAAATTGCTAATAGAAACAAAATTAAATAGTGAGGGAAAAAATAGAATGTTTAAGGCAATAACTTCTAAATTTCATACAAGTGAAGTGACATGTTTTCAGCAGCAACTTCAGAAGCACAGAATATACAGTGGTGTGAAATATGTGATCTTTTCACTATTATTTTAGCAATTTTTTGCAGGTATATTCCGACGTGAGTTATACATTGCTGCAGAAAATACACAAGAAATTACAACAATTTAAGTTAGTGAGTTCCAATAAAGCAGAGTTTTGAGTTTATAATATTCCTTATGAAATTATTTTGATAAAAATAGCATTCCAAAATAATTTCTTATTTTAATAATATTTAAATGAATATTTTTAAAAATTTATTTAATGCAAATCATCTCTTATTTTTATAATTACCTGTTCACACCTCTTTAAATAATCTGGAATACCAAGTGAAGTCCAGTTTAATCTTTTCACTCCATATATTATTGTTTTATTCAAACATTGAATTTCTGCATCTAATAATTTTACCTGCAAAAATATTTCACGTTTATTGTCTTTTTCACTATAATTAAACTGTACATGTATCATGGATCTAGAACCATATGCAGCTAACTCTAAATTCTGCAGTTTTTCAATAATAGAATATTCAACACATTCTATTTATGATCATAAGCAGATATATAAAATTGAAAACAGATACATAAAATAGCAAACTTTCGGTGAACATCAAAGGTTGATCCAATTTTCAAATCCTGTTTTCTAAAAATTGCTTATGATCACATATGGTTCAACACCCACAATAATTTGGAAAATGCAAGATGCTTTACCATATTTCTTAATTGATTTAATTAGTAAGTTTTGTTTTAACTACATTTATGATCCTTAAATTATATGAATAGCCAGAATTTTTGTAAAGATGACTCCAGGTTACTCTTTCAAAAATCAGTACACTTGGGCATAACTGTGATGACTTACTCTTTATATATTTAAATCCATAACTGCAATTAAAGAAGACTCAAAATTAATCTATTTTTTTAAATTTATGTTGAATTGTAGCTGTATTATTCGTTCAGTGAATGGTTGTCTCTTTAATCTGAAATAATTCCTTCGGTAGACTATCTTACAGCAAGTCAGGTTAAGAAACTCCTTTATTGTATTTTCACATATGCATTTCAGGCTAGTTTTATTTTTCTAGTCCCTCTTCAGTGCTACAGGAAGTACACATTACAAACATTAAGTTGACAAATATAATAACATAAGTAGAAATGTCAAGTAACACAAGGAAACACTTTTTACAATACCTTTACGAACTTCACCCACTTTTTTCCCCGAGCTAAACTGTTACATTCATACGGTGCTTCTATTTACAATGTTAAAATATCTTTGTGGGCATAAAACGCATTACAATGTATAGCAACATTGAAACAATGTTGCTATAAATAATAATACAATCATAAAACTCAGTAACAAATAAGTAATATAAAAACTTTTAAAAAGTTTTTTACAAAAATATGCATACAGGTTTTTCTCTTATATTCCTAGAAAATATTCCATTCTAACACTAAACAATATTTATGTGTTGTATAAATCCATAAATGGTAATTTACATACAATAACTTTTACATATATTTGGTGCTTATTTTTTTAAACCTAAAAATATAGAGGGACAGAGAATCTGAGTTCTGCCTGAATTTAAGCAAAAATATAATGTTTCAAATTTCTTGATATTAATATTTAGTTCAATAAATGAGGTTAAATGTTTATATTTAATTATTTTGACACATTCATAATGGATTCTAAGAGAAATTGACAACTGGCCCTTGAAGTTATGATGAGTTAATAAAAAACCCAAAAGTGGGTTCAGAGGTGATTCATCAAATACTAAATCAGAAAAGATTTCTTTTGATGTTTGTTTTATAACTTTGATGAAGTTTTTCTCCACAAGTCATTTGCTGATTCATGAAAACTTCCTTCAAAACTAAACTTTCTCAATTTTTACAACTTTTCAAACTCTTCTCTCTCATTTAAATAATAAATGATATTCTTAATATTAGACCACTGGTCTTTTCATTATATTGACTAGAAGTTTGAAATGTCAGCAAAATGTATGTAATTCATTGAGTGACTTTTTCCAAGAGTAGAATACATGTTTTACCAGTTTCTCACTTCTATTTCTCTTCATATTGATTCTTTAAATTGTATTTCTTTCTTTGAAAGGTCTGATTACCAATACTCCCAACAAACATATAAACCAGTAGAGCACAAACCCTGGGTTGCAACACCGAGAGGAATCACAACCCATGGTTTGTGCACCACTGGTATAAATAAAACTATTATTTCATAGAATTATGTGCTTTATTAAGACCTCTAATAAGGCAAAAACATAAGCATGCAAATCCCAGAAAGAATTTCACTTTAACTACATTGATGATTAATAAAGCATCTGCTGTCTATCCAGGGGTCACAACAAAATTTTACACAAAATAGGGGGGGTCGGAAATGAAAACAGTTAGCACACCACTATCATAATAAAGCAATCTGAATTTCACAAAACTTTGCAATTGCTAGTTTAAATTTCATTAAACATGATATTAACAATATTTTGATTAATTAAGCAATAAATTTTACATAAATAAATCATGCTGACTCATATCATCAATAAGCAGCAACAATAAAAATTCTTCCATATAACAACAAAAACTTTAAAAAATATGTTTTTGCACTACTGTGAGATCTCAGAAAAATAAAAAAAATCACAAGTTTTCATAAAAATATAGAATTCTCATTAAAAACTGTAATAACTGTAACAATTAAAATATTAAATCAGACCAACCAGAATTGTAATTATGTGAGTATCTTACTTTAATTCAGCATAAGTATATTTTAATTAACAAATGCTAGTTTGTGAATAAAAATGTACATTAAAAGAAAAAATATAAAAATACAGTAGAGCATCAATTATCCGACTCAATTGGGGATTCGGGTTGGTTGGATAACTGAAAAAATTGGATAACCGAAAAGAATGGAAAAAAAAAATACTTTATTAGTATAGTATATTAGTATATCGCTGTTAACCTACTTCACGTTAAATTTTCATCAATGTTAAGCCTAACAAAAATTTTTTTTAAAATAATAATCATCGCTATTGTATCGTTAAAAATTATCTTTGAATTATTTTATTGCTCACAAAACAAATAACCACTCATAATTAGAAAATTAAGTCTCGTTTAAATACTGGCCTCCCTTCAATGGTCGAGCCGTTGATGCCAGCTAAAACACGCAAACATTTAACAAAAATAATATTAAAGTAGCCAAGACGTAGCCAAATATTGTAGTGCCACATCACTAACGGACATTTGAAATTTGCCGGCTAGAACGGTCGGTTAACCGATGTGACGGTTAATCGGGGGTCGGATAATCGATGCTCTACTGTATATCTAAAATTAAAATTTCAAAACTTTTGTTTTGAACTGTAAAAATGCTGTTCAATATAATAAATATCACAAAAACACTATGATATTCATGTTTTAAAAAAAAAAATGAATGTTTAGGATTTTTCAATTTTATTAAAGTTATACATTTACAAAAAGTCTTTTTTTTAAAAACAGTAACAATTTTTTAAATATAATTAAACTCTTGTGTAAAATATTCTGAGTTGTAAAGAACAATTAAAAGTTTCTGTAAACACTTAGCAGATTTAATAGGCATAAATATGCCAGTTTTAGGATTGTATTTTATTATTGGTTATATAATTATTCTAAATTATTGTAATTTGATAATAAATAAATACATTACCTGAGCTTCATTCATCATTTCCAAAACAGATTTTAACATTTTTAATATTTTATTTAATCCATTTCGCTGACTAAAAAATTTTTCTTCCTAGAAAAATAATATAACATATACTAAAAGAAGTAAATATGAATAAAAATATTTTTATATTTCATAAAAATGTGAAAACAAAGTTTTAAATTTTTTAAGACAAATAACAAAATATTAAATATAGTAGGTGCCACTTATTGTAATCAAGAATATATTATAGGTTGTTTGATATTGTCAGAATCATGTCCTAAAACATAAATTAAATATTATTACAAAGATTTTGCTTATTGTAATCAGAGATTCACTTATAATTATCACTGTGTTATTAATGATAATTTTGAATTTACTTAGACAAATAATAATAGCCAACTGACAAAACAGTTATAAGCCATGTTGTTCTGATAAAAATGTTAGCACAACAATCAGAATCACTTTAAAATAAATCATCCAATCATATAAGCTGTTTACTCTTAATAGAATAAATATTTGTTTTAATCTTACAGTCACTAGTGACTAGTGTATGCAGTGCTGCTGTTTAAATTTTGACTTCTGTCATTTGTTACTTCATTTATAGGCTATCTGTTTGCTATTGTTGAAAATTGTGATCATTACTGTTTAAAGAAAAATATACTGTTCCTCTTAGCATAATGGAAAAAGCAAATGAACACAAAGATTTTCCTTTAAAAGTAAACTTGAAGTTTTAGAATGTTATGATAAATTACCAAAAATAAGTCAAGGAACACTGTTGAACAGTTTCTAATTTCACATCCAGTTTTATGCAAGATTTTGAAAAACAGACTGAATACTGAAATGTCAGGAAAAAATGTGAACATGATTTGCAAGAGAAATCAAACTGAAAAAGTTAGTGAACTTAAGTTAGCTTTCAAGCTTTGGTTTAATAATATTCACAAAAAAATGCACCTGTTAAGAGACTACTAATATGTCATAAAGCAGAAGAATTAGTTAAAAATACTTTAACTAAGATTTTATTGCAACTGATGGAGAAAACAAAAGAACGTTGTGTACAGGCACATTTGTGACGAGAAGAAAAGTTCTGATTCTGCATCAGCTGAATTGATAAAGACAGAATGATCAAAAATTATTGCTAAATATTCACTGAGAAACATCTATAATGCAGATAAAACAGCACTTTATTTTTAAACAATGCTTGATCATACTTATATTTTTAAACATGCAAATGCTAAAGAATAGACAAGATTATACTACAGTTCTTTGTTGTGTTAATATGCAAGGCCAGAAACAGAGACTTCTATTAATTAGAAAAAGTAAAAATTCTAGATATTTTAAGGATGTGAAATAATTACAAGAAAATTACTGTTCAAATGCAAATGCCTGGATGGCAATTGACATTTTTAACAATTATAGCTAATAGTGAAATGAGATATAAACTTGAAATAAAATATTTTGTTAGTAATATTTTGTTGCAAGTGCATTCATGTTTTAGCAATGTGTCATTAACAAACATTAAAATAATAATCCTTCCTGTAACTATATCATCATTAATTCAGTCATGTGACCAACAAATCTAACTTAAAAAATATACTATACAGAGTGTAACAGTAAAAATAGGCACAATTTAAAGGGGTGATAGTCATGGCAAAAGTAACAATTGTCATAATACAATGCATGGTGAAATATGAATGCAAAAATGCAGTAAGTACAAAAAACGTGGAAAATGAAAGACAGTATATGTTATGAAGACAGTATAAAGGAAATAGCTAAGAATGCAAAGAAGGAATTAAACATTGAAAAGGTTGTTGAAATTTAATTTTGTTTTAAAATTATTATTAGAGATTTTCACAAACTGAAACAACATTATTTTTGTTTGCATTAAACCATTATTGAAAATTTAAAAATTAAAGATCTATTTTTCAACATTCAAAATATTACTAATGCTTTTTTTGTTTTTCATTCTTTTTAATGTATCTTTCTCTTCCTTTCATTTGGTATCTTTCTTTTGGTACCAGCTTCAAATTAACAAACAAAATCTGAAAGGAAATAGAGACATTGCTGTTATTTCTATATAAAATTTCAAATTCTTATTTTATTTTTAAGTGTTTTATCCATTTTCCAAATGCTTTAATATTCCTTTCTATTGCATCTCCTATCTTACCCATCTTCCATCATGAAATAATCTTTCCTAATTTTTCTCTCTTGCTCTTGTCCTCTTGTGTCTTAAAACAGACATTAGAGCATTTAGAAAATGAATAAAATATTTAAAAATAAGAACTTGAAATTTTATATAGGAACAACAGTAATATGTCTCTATTTCTTTCAGATTTTGTTAATTGATCTTGGGCTGATGTTTTAAAATGTTAAAATCTCATAATAATAAATAATAACTACGTATTATTGATAATACGTAGTTTCCACAATTAACTACGTATCAATAGATAATAAATAAAATGAAATGACATTGAAAAAATATTCAACGTACAATCTTTAACAAAACATATATTTATTAGTTTTCAGTTTCTATAATATAACATTTATTGATATAATTTGCATAAAATTTATACCTCCAATGCAATATCACGAATGATATCAGGAATTGAGAATCCTAAACATTCCAAACCCTTAGCTTCATTTATAATTTCTTTCAAAGCATCAGGAAAATTAATTCTATAATTCATCTTCTGTGACATATAAACTGAAATAAATCAATTATTAATAAAAATCATATATTTTTTCAATAATAATATAATTCAAATGAATTAATAAAACTTTTTATTATAATTTCCATAACTATAATTTAATTCATTAAGCATCTTTATTAAGTTGTGAAAATAGAAAAATAACAATTGTTTATGTGAGGTTTGCTGACAAGAAGAAAAGAGAGAAGTTGATTCAAACTCAATTCAAATCAAGTCAAGATGAATGAGAAATAAGGGATGATGTGTGGGTAATGGCAGACATACAAATGAAACCCATTTATTTGTAAATAAACTGGTAGCTTACAGTTTCATACAAAGGATGCTCCACTCAAACTATGATCTAAAGAGTTCAGTTTGTTTTTGATGAAGTCCCTCAATCTGCCAATGGCCCTGAGACAATGTTGTTATCAAGTCCAGAGATGATGGTTAGTCTAAAGATGAGTGACAATGCCTGCAGTTCAGCAAAGACAGATGCAACAGCACTATGATGATGATGATGATGATAGCAAAACACAAGCACAGAAAAAGGATGCACAGTGTCACTTCATGAACTTGGAAAAGAGAAATCCACTGCCTGTCCTTGAAATTATGAGTTTTTAAAGAATTTTATTCCCAAATTCCAGGCTCTCAATGGTCCCAATTCCCTCTTGTCATTTCCTGATTGGTCTCCTCCTTTGTTTCCAAGTAGAAATAAGATCAACTTGGGTTACAAAAAACAATGATCTTTGATATTCAACAGGAAATGTTGATGGAACTTTGAAATCTATGCTCATATTTTAGATTGTTATAGTTTCTGTTCTGACATCTAGAAATTTTTACTACAACACACAATGTTTTCTTTCATAAACTATTCAGTTTCCCAATTCAATTAAATTCTGTCATTTTTCTATGAGTGTCATTGTCAAAGTTTGAACTCTCTGGCCTGACATTGAATTAGATACTAACATGTATTCAAGTTGCACTCAGGACTTACATTGTTTATAATAATGACATGACATGAAGCAACATTTGTGATGTATCATGTCATATTTCCTTTCAATATTAAAATATTGTTTTTAGTGCATTTAACAGGCAGTTTGGACTCTGTCTGGAACCTCACATTTATTATTTTTATGATGTTATTTCAGGAAAACTATTTAGCTTCAGTACTTTATATTTTTGTTATTATGTATTTTTTATTTATTTATTAACGATTTAAAATATATATACAGTAGAGCATCGTTTATCCGAAAGTCGGTTATCCGAAACGTCAGTTATCCAAAAGAATTCCAGTCGGCAAATTTAAATTTTTGCTAGTGCTGTGGCGCTGCAATCTTTTGCTATATCTTGGGCTACTCCAATATTTTTTTTGTTGATGTATGTGTTTTAGCTGGCAGCACTGGCATTTTTGTGTGGTGTTTTTCTGAGGACTGTGTGTGGTGCTGAACCGAACGTTTTTGATACTAGATTAACTTCCAGAGTATAATATTTTTGTTTTTATATGTTTCAATATATTTATTTTGTTTGTAAAAATTAAAAAAAATAATTTTTTAATGATACAATAGCCACGATTATTATTTTAAAAAGTTTACATTAGGCTTAACATCGACGAAAATTCAACACGAAGCGACACGCAACAAAGAAAAATTTCAACACGGGATAGGTTAATGTATTTTTTTTGTACATAATCGGTTATCCGAACAACCCCAGTCCCCAATTGATTCAGATAAACGATGCTCTACTGTATATCTTAAATTTATTTAAGTATAAAAAAGTATATTTAAAAATATCAAATTGTCTCTTACATACATTCAATAAATATCTTAAAAGTTGTTTGAAAATAATAACAAAATTTTCTATAAAAACTTAGAATCCAGTAAACAAAATTTAGAGCATGTAGCTACAGTTTTATTCTATGTGAATACCAGGAATCCTGTCTATGAGTTTTGAATACTATAAACCAGGGATGAACAACCTTTTTCTATGTAAGGGCCGCATTTCAAAACTTTTGAACTGACACGAGCCACATACAAGAGAAAAGACGAAAAAAATGTTGGTAAATCACAATTTTTTATTCATATATAATTATAAATTAGCATAGGTATACTTAATTTAGCTTCTGGAACTGATGTAAATGTAATATATCAGAAATATTTGGTTAAATATTAGTCACTGTTAGTTTTAAATTAGTTTTGATGTGTCTGTTAGCTGGTTTTTTGTTTCAATTTTAACTAAGTTAATTGTGGAAAAACTATTCACATACATAAGTTGTTGAAAAAAACATTTGAATTTTTGCTGCATACTTCCTTAAGCTGGGAAATTGATATATTTATTCGTATTTTACGTGATCCACAAAAAATATTACTGCGGGCCACAGGTTGCCCATCCCTGCTATAAACCAATGTTTTGTGTCATTTTGCAATGCTTTCAATATCTGTGTTGCAATTTATAATAATTTTTTATATAAATGATATTAGTTTTATATATGACTACTAAACATATTTTTGTCAGTTGAATCTTCATCAAATAAGAAAAGACCATGACAATCTTTAACACTTTCAGTACAAGAAACAGTCATGAAATTGTTCTGTTCCAAGATTTCAACAGAGCAATCTGTTTTAAATGTTTCTCTTGTGTTAAAACTTCATGAAAGTTCTCTCAATGGGTTTTTCTTCTGTATTATAATTAGTTTAAATTGTTTAAGCATTCAGCTTTTTAGCTTATTAAATTTAATAAACTGTTTCTTATGCAATGTCTTTTGTTTGCAACAATACATTGATTAGATAATTATAAATAATATTTGAAAATTTAGTATAAAATAACCACTTGTAACACAAAAAACTGCTGTAATTTAAAATAATGCAGAGTAAGTTTTTAAAAAATGTTTAAAAATAGGCAGATAGCACCCAAATTAGTCAGCCACATAAATGTAGAGTTGAATTAACTAATGCACTTTAACAATGGCATTTAATAAAGTCTAAAGAATGCTAATGTTTTCAACCCAACTAATGGGCCATCTTCAGATATGTTAAAAGTGGAATGCCAGTGTAAAGAAAGATGGATGAGACAGAGTAAGCAAGCAAGTGAATAAAGCAGACTACAATGGCATAGTCCATAGACTATGTTGTCAGGAAGGGGATGTGGCCAACACTTTAGTCCATTTTCCCTCCTGCTTGGAATACATGATGAAAGCAAAAACAACTATAATAGTGTTTCTTTCCCAAGAAACTAGTATTTTAAAATCCTGACTGTTTTTGAAATTTGAAAATCCTGGGAATTGGACAAATATCTTAAAAAATCTCAAAATCCTGAAACATATCAAAATTTTAACTCTTTTTACATCAAAAATAAAAATATATTAATGTTATAAAGCACTAAAGCATCATAAAATCATTCTTAAGTATGATAGTTTTGAATAAAAAATGATAATTTTTATTCTCACAGTACAATATTTAAGCTTTGGCTATTTGGCAATGTTGTTTACAAATTCAATTCTAAGATTTCATCTATCACCTACAGGCACAAAATATATTACTGCTTTATTTTATTCCAGATTTTAAACATTTTAATGTCTGAACCAGCACTATAGTCATGTGGTGGTACCCTAGTACTTTTTAAAGCAGAACAAAGCTCTTGTATTTTATGAAATCTAGGTTAGACTTTAGACTAGGTACCTTGGCTAAAAAATGAAAAAAATTACTTCTTAAACAACTTTTTGTATGCACTAAAAACATATAGATAATTTTTGGTACATTTAAGCTGTTTTGAGGTATTGATTCACAAACTCATGATGTTGGTTAGCACCCTGGCACTTTTTAATTTACAACTGCATTCCTGGTTTGATCTAAAATTGTTTGTTTGGAAATAATTTATTAAAACTCCAATTTATATTCATGTTTATTATTTTTAGTACAATCCTTCCAACAATAATAGAACATACAGTTTTTACCTAGAAACTATTATTTTCATGCAACTTTAATGAAATTTTCTAGTACATTTTATAGTAAGATATCAACAATTATTGCACAAGTTTGAAGAAAAATGATTAATAAACAAAGGAGCTTGATACTATTAGCAAAAATAAAATGTCCAACATTACACATGTGGTAAACGCATGTGGTGAGAGTAACCTAACAAAAAGGACTAGCATACAGCATACAGCATACAGCATACAGCAATGTTGCTTTTAATTCACCCACGCTTAGATTTTACAAGATTCTTTAAGAATTTGACACCACTCCTTAGTTTCCTTTTACATATAATTTCCGCGAAATCCTCGGGTGGAACCGTTAATTAGAATCACACGACAAATGATCAAACAGAATATCTCGCAACAAACAAAAAAGGAAAAACTTATATCTAAATACTTAAAATTATTTACAAATACACCCAAAAGGTGGGTTGTAAGAAAAGATAGAAAGTGAGGCAGATGGATATATAGTGGTAGTGGAAAAAGGGTACCCAAACTCTCCAATGACCATGTGGTGAATCTTTCTTAATTATTCATCCAAATGGTATATGCAGAATATAGCTGATTCCTTTCAAGTTCTCAATATAGATTTTCCAAATGTTCTCTTATCAAGTTATTTCAAGGTCCTCTAGGAAGTCTCTCTTTAGGCCTATCTCCTTGTTTTACCTTGTTTCACATACATCATCTCTCTCTGACCACAAAGCAAAAAGTGTCCTCATATCTCACCTTTAGCCCTCCAGGCTATCCCTTTCTATTGTCCAATCTAGGTCACCACCACCAGCACAATTGAGAAGTTTCTGGAAGGTGATAAACAATGGCACAAAGAGCAGAGAGCCAACAGAAAATAAGGAATGGAAATATTACAACTATCTTAACAACTAACATGAAAATAATATACAACAATATGGCTGACAGCCACACTAAAACATCTTGACTTATGATATCTTTAAATTAAAATTAGTAGTTGATTTTGTTATAATTTTTGGAAACAATCTGAAATATACAATTAGACATTGAATTAATCAAAAATTGCAGCTGTTCTTGTAGAATATTTTCCCATGCCTCAACAAGAGCAGCCTTTAGTTCAATAATGGTCTTGTATTGCTTTCCACTGCTATACATTTGGAAAACCAAGTCACCCCAAAGATTTTCAATTGGGTTTAAATCTGCACTGAGAAATGGCCAGTTCAAAAGTTGGATGTTCTTGCTCTGAAAAAGAGGATAACATTGATTTTGATACATGGAAGCTTGCATTATCCTGCATAAATTCAAAGTTCTGTTCATAAGTTTGGAGCTGATAAGTTTGAGAGTTGTTTCAACCTTCAATAAATACTAGATCTGTCTTTCCATTCCATCCAATTCCCACCCAAGTCATGAGTGTATAACCACCAGCTACTCTCTTTGCTTTTGATCTAGTCTTTTGTCTGCCCAATATTACTTAAAGCCATCAGGTCTGTCAAGATTCCACTTTTTCTCATCCAAGAAAATTACTTTTTGCCATCCTTTCCCTCTTTCAAATTTGTTTCTGGCAAACTGTAATTGAAGTTGTTTGTGTTTCTCCTTGAACTGGTTGCCTGTCTTCATTTTGACAAAAGAAAAACATTGTCTGTTGATTTCAAAACATTGTGAACTGTTGATTTACTGCAACTCAGCTTCAATTCATTTTTGATTTTTTGAATGGGTGTGCTTCCTTGCAGTGCATGTCGAACAATTGTACATTGTTCTCTAGGTGTTGTTGAATTCTTGCACCCACTGTTTCATTTTCCTGTTTGTTGCTCCTTATTATTCAGATACTTTGAGTATTTTTTTTAAAACTCTTTCTGCCCTGTGGTCACTAAGAGGGCCTCTTTTAGCAAGCCCATTATGGGTTTGGCCAGGCCCATGATGGGGCAGCTGGGTGGTGAGGGACAGGGCCCAACATATCTGGACAGATCACTCCCTGAAAAATTCCTGGGGTTTTTTGATCCATCCAGATTCAAACCCAGGTCCCCCAGAGCAGTAGGCTGCCACCTTGATCGTTTGGCCATCTGGCCGTTGATACTTTGAGATTGTTGAATGAGGTCTTCTCAAATTTTTAGCAATCCACGTTACTTTTCTCCCTTTCTGGTGAAATACATCAATTTTGATCTTCTCCTCTATAGTTAGGTCCTTCCCATGTCCCATTTCTAATAGTAAGGTACTATGCAATTTAATAAATCTTTCTTTCCACTTGTTGATTGTATTTTTATGCAAATTTCATGGATTCCAATCATTTCTTTCTTTGTAATTAATTTTAATCAGTACATGTTTTATTAATGTTGGACATCCTATTTTTTATAATAATATCTAACTCTTTTGTTTATTAATCATTTTTCTCCAATTTGTGCTATAATTGTTGATATCTTACTATAAAATGTACTAAAAAATTTCATTAAAGTTACATGAAAATAATAAAGCGTTTCTAGGGAAAAACTGTATGTTCTATTATTGTTAGAAGGACTGTACTTGTCTTGCTTTTAAGAAAATTTTCAAGTGTTTTTATTTATTATTTATACTTTTGCATTGTTTTTCTAGACCTATTGCTATTTTGCACTTAATATATTGTGAGTTTTCAAACAAGTCAGCCTCAGCTTTCCTTGATAAAGCCCAGATATGTTCATTGATGTGATATCAAATCAAAACTGATGAATGACTGAGTTTACTTTGAATTAGCTTTGCTTTTCTTCCTCAATGACGATAATATGGCAGATTGTTGCATGTGTTTGTGAAAAAAATGCATTATATTGTTTCTGCAACATGTCGTGGTATACTTGATAATGGTGGAATGCTATTTTTTATTTAAGTCCTGACAAAAGTTTCACAACATGGTATTTTTTAAAATGCCAGAACATATTATGGTTCTTCATATGTAACCAAGATGTGAAATTTTTTATTGTGGCTGTTTCTGTAAAGCCACAATATGTTTTGTTTTTTCTGCTTATTGAGTATTTTCAATCTTTGAGCCCAATATATAAAATATGAATGAATTAACATGCTATATTACCTTATTTTATGATATATAAGATGCACTTTTTGTCCAAAAAGGCTAAAAAAATTGCCCTTTATCCTATATGTGAAATTGCAATCTCCTACATGCTAATGAGTTCTCAAACAACCTTCAGTAGGCTACTGATAACCTATACCTAGTCCAATTCTTAAATAAAAATATTATTGTTCAATAAACATATCATTATCATTATTAGTTTTAGCTAAGCAGCTTTTGCATGTTTTCATGTTGAATATTTTAATGGCAAATTTTAATTATAAATAACTTATTTTAAACTCCTTTGAAACAAAGGAGTTTAAAAGAAGTCATTTATAATTAAAATTTGCCATTAATAAAAGTGTTTATTCTAATTTTACTTTTTTTTTGGTGACAATTTAGTAACAAAAATTTTGGGTCAAGTGCCAAATGTGCAGAATGAAAATTAAATTAAATATGGCAAATACTTTTATTTAAATATTCTATGCTGAAATTTGAGTGTCTCTCAAATATCTATGCATCTTATATATTGTAAAATATATAAATATGATATACAGTCCCTAATTATCTTAATTTCAAACATTAACTAGAATCATAAGAAATGAGTAATTATTTATTGTGACATCACAATGCCAGGCTGCAATTTTTAATCATATTTTTAATTTATTTAATTTAAAATATATGCTCTCCACCTCAAATTAGTAGTGTCTTGCCTCTGTATACCATACTTTTCCTTTAACAATAGAATCATGCCAGTCATCTAACACCTTTCAGGAGAAAATTTTTGAAATAACATGACTTCCAGCTTGCATCAGAAGTTTGTACATAGTTAATTGGGGCCTCCTGCTCCTAAGGTTTTCATATCTGGTCTCATCTTTCATCTATCTAACTCTGTTTTTGAGATTAAGGAAAGACAGATGGATAGAATGGACAGACAACAGTGGGAATTGAAGTCTACAATTTTTTCAAATTGTAGCCCAAAAAGCTTTTTGTCAAGAACAAAATTTAATTATGAAAATATTAAAATTAAAAATAATAAAATATTTAATCATTTTTTAGTTCAACAAAAAAATGAATTTAACTTACTTTTAAAAAGAAAATTTAATGTATGTTATTACCTTTTATATTAGCGCCAGCACATTTTTGTTGTTGATTAGCTTTATCAACTGACTGATCTAATACCAAGATATTTTTTTGTATTAATTGTCGTACTAAAATAAGTGATTTCTTTTGCCAAGATTGAAACAATTTTTCCTCATACTCTCTCATTTTTTTTCCTAATGTTAAATATTTATTTTGAGCCTGAAAATTATTAAAGAATATTTATTTTAGTTTTTAAAAAGCATTTAAAAATTATTTAATTTTTATCCAAAACTATACTAAAATCTGAGTTTTTGAAATCAAATTTTAATGATGAAAACTTTATGAACTTTAATAATTCATATGTAAACAGAATCAAACTTGTAACTCCATAAGTATATGAGAGCTTTTTCATATTAAACAAGAAGTTTTCTGAAAAAAAATTAAAATTGACACACTAATATTTTAAAAATTATTTAATTTTTTTGATATAACTAAAATCTTTATATAACAACTTCTTTATAATTTTAAATACATTTTAATAATTATGAAATAACAAGATAGCTGTCACAATATAAAAATCCTGTATTTCTACAAATATAAGAGCATGCCATTACAGATGAGATAAAATTGGCACTATATTCTGCAAATTCCTTAACAAAACTCATTATTTTTAAAAACTTTTGTAGTATCAAAAGCTTTTTTTCTATTTTGACCTTTGAATTTTAATAATCATTACTACAGAGAAGTCACTGAACAGTGACTCTATCAGTCACTTGCATTTAATTTACATTTACACAGCAATGCAGTGTTCTTATAAATCAAAACAAGAGCATGCTCTTATACACAGAAATATTATATTTGTATTTTCTTCTGAAAAATGTACAGCTACAATCCTAAAATGTTTCATCTAACATAAGATAAAATACAATATCCAATAATTTGTTTGACACAAACATGATAACATGAACTAGTCCACTCCCTACAAGAAAGGCTTAACAAAAATAGATTTTTTTTCTATCTTTTCACTTTCCATCTTACTCAATAATTTGCTATCATAGCACAATATTAATAGTGTTGATATAATACAAAAACAATTAAAAATAAACAATAGAAACCTCTTGTAAGTTAATTGTAGATGTACAGTAAGACCCTGCTTTATGCGGGGATGCGTTCCTAGACAACAAAGCGCTAAGAGAAACAGCATTAAACAAGGTCATTTTAACCTAAAGTAAATAGGGATAGAGAAACATGCAACCAAAAATGAACAAATTTTACTTTAATTTTAAGTTATTTTTATATTAATTTGTATAATAATATATGTTAAATAACACATAAACATGTGCACACAGAAATGTAAAGTTAATTTTTTGTGATGAAGGTCCTGACTCTTCTGAAATGCTTGTTCTTTTGCAATAAAGTCATGAAGTTTCATTTTTAAAAAGCTTTTTTCTTTTCTTAAGCAAATGTCAGTAGCAGAAGATCACATCCAAAATGCCTCGTTTTGCTTTTGCACTCCTTTCAAAATCTAGATAATTTGCTACAATTTGATCAATGATTTTGGTTATCTTGCCAAACTTTTACTAAAGAAATCTATAAAGAAATTTTTTGGGTTCTTTGCTTTCAGAATCTCTATTTTCCAGTTCCACATGAATTCCATGTTCTGCCAGTTCTTAAAAGTCATTGTTGATAAGGCTCTCACCAGAAACCTGCTGTAACTCCTCAATATCCTGCTCGTCTACATTTCCTAGTCCTGCTGTATCAATTAGGTTGAGTTTGATCAACCTAATGATACAGTGATAGGCTCTTCTCGTTGAGAATTCTTGGATACCTTCAGCCATAACTTCTTCCACACTTTGTTTGTGCATTTATCAGTTAATTCTTGCCAAGCAAAGTCGATTTTTCCTATGGTATCCATGATGTTATATTTTTTCCAAAATTGCACCAAACAAACATAGATTTAAAGAAAGTACACCTTTTTGCCATCTTTTGTTGATTGGTTTGTGTTCACAAATAATTGTATTATATACGAATCAATGAAATGCCACAATAATTTAAATCAGTGTAAATTTTGAGCTTTTTTTAGGCTTCGAGCAGAATGTATTATATTGAATCAGCATTAAGTGAGGCAGCGTTAAGCAGAGTCTTACTGTACTTTATATAATAGTGTGAGATCTTATCCTGGAAAACTAGTCACAAAAGTCTCTATACACCATCTCTGTTCTATACTGACAACAGTGATGAATGTTCAGTTGAGATCTGTCAAATTGAGCTGTGTACTGGTTATGTTGTCCATGTCAATGTTCTTTGTGTAAGTTTAAACTTTAATAATGTTATGATCATGAAAAATGAGAAATGAAAATTGTGTTCATTCTATCTGCCTAAAGTATCAGACTCAAAAACCTACTGATAGTCTACTGAAAGAAAATTATACAAATTGTTTTCTTATCCCACCTTGTGTGGGACTGCTGTCTGACTGTTTGGCTGTTGACATGAATTTTTTGCTCTCTTATGATTTGACTCATTTTTGTTTCTATCTTGGAAAATGACAGAATTTCCATCTCAGGAAAGGAAAAGTTTTTGCCATTATCTCAAGAGATTGCCAGATAATGTAAGAAAATGAATTGGAAGCAAAGAGAATGTCTCAGATGACTCAATGGAACAACTGATCTTATCTTATATAAGTGCCAAAAAGGAGATTAACATTCAAGAAGGAATTCAACTTTAGTTGAAATTACAAGCTTCTTCAAATAGTAAATTGCAAATACTTTTAAGCATTTAGATAAAATGTAAGCATGAATTGAAAATATAGATACTGCTTCGGTAGATCTTGAGTCCAGGCTCTCTGTCCTTGAAACTGATACAGAAAAAAAACTAAATTAAAAATTACAAATCAATTATGGAATTGATGCAATATGTAATAATTTGCATGAAAATTAATGAGATTAGAAGATAAAGAAAGAAGAAATAATATTGCAATCTCAGGATAACAATAAAATTAATGATAGCTTATTTAAGGTTCAGAAACTTTTTAATAATAACTTAAAGGTTACAGATGTGAATATTGTGCTTCTAAAATTGGAAAATTTAGAAAAGATTAATTATTTGTGAGTTAATCAGTTTTGAAGATAAATTAAAAGTATATAAAAATGTTAGTAATTCAAAAGATTTGAATATATAGTATATATATAAACAAATACAAAAACTATCAGAAACAAATTAAGGCTATATGGTAAAGAAATGCATTCTAAAGGAGCTAGGAATGTTAAATTGCAATATAACAGATTAATTATAGACAATAAGATATTTGTGTGTAATTACAAAGTGGAAATTTTCCAGACAGATGAAGAACAATCTGTTTTTAGTAATATAGTTTACAAAGATAAACAGCATGATGATATAAAAGATGAGGATGACAAATATAAAGTTCTATACTTGGATAATAATGACATGATACCTCTATTTTATAATATTTCATGTTTAAATATAATAAATATTGCTTTCCTAATTTCTGAAATCTGATATATAGATTGGATGGTAGAAACATGGCATACATCTCTTGTAATTGAATCAATGTTTTCTAATAATTATAAAATTTATCATCAGGTAGCATATAGCTGTGAGTGGTGGATTAATTGTCGGACTTAGATTAGATGCAGTCTCTGAAGTTAAACATATTTCAGTCATGATTTGTGCTGACTTTACAACTACATAATGAAGAGTTAACCAATTTTCCACTAATAGTGTCATATATTCCATCTAACAATAATTATGATGATGATTTTAAGAATACTTTGTTGTTTATAGAAAATCACTTGCTACATGGAACTAACTTGATCTTATGTGCATACAGTAGACCTCCTATAACACTGTTGATAATTCCGTGTTATATAAATTTCATGTTGTATGAGTCACTTAGATTTTACAAATACGTGTTGTAAGGAACCAAGTCTGAGCATTATTTTTATTTACTTTTATTTTTGCTTTTTATTATATTTTTGTTTGGGGCTTATGTTTTGTTAGGACAAAGGTTTCCTCACCATTCACCTTAGAAACTTAAAAATAGAAGAAAAACCAACTCACCAACGAGAGAAAAGCACTATAGAAAAAACTCGCGCACACTCGCACTCCCGAGCGGAAAAAAGTAAGTCCGCACCGAGAAAAGGGGGGGAAGACCCCACAAGCACAACTTAGGGACTCGCTAAACCTTAAAGAATAAAAAAACATCCCCAAAATTGTCAAAATGAATAATGTAAAAGGTTAGCGAGTAGTGTCGGAAAAATAGGATGTCAGACAAATAGAAAAGTTTATTGTTAGCAAATAAGTATGTAAATGAAGGGAGTGATTGCATTTAGAATTGTGACGTCACCTCACAGTATAAAGACTGAACCTCAAGTGAAGACAAGCGAGGCAAGCTTCTGTTAGCAACGAGCTTGGTGAGCTTCGTAGCAGTAAACGAGAGAGGTGTCCGATAGGATCAAATAGTTCCAAGGCGATTTTGAAGTTATTCAATTTGTGGATTGACGTATAGAGAAAGTCTTGAGAGTTGAGGAAATAGGTTCCTAGTATATTGAGGTGACGATTAGGATCTTTAATTCATAAGAATTATTGTACATAAATTAAGTCTTTGATTTTGTCGAATTCCAAAGGGGTGTGGCCGTCGGCCATAAAATTGTATAAAATATTAATTTTAGTTAGTTTTAAGTTTCTTTGTTCCTTTATTTCTTACTTTTCTAGAACTTTCCTTTCCAACCTTTTTCCCTTGGGTGGGATTAACAATCCCAAGAAATGGGAATGAAACAAAGGGTGAAGTGGGACCCTAAGGCGAAAAAGTAGAAACGAAAAGGAGTCGAGGTCGAGCTCTCGAGGAGAACTGACGAGAGAAGGTAGTGTTCCGGATCGCTTGTAAGACGATCGGAGACTACGAAGCTAAAAGAAGAGGTCTGGGCTCGAAGACGCAGAGTAAGGACGGAGAAGTGGTATAGCTTCAGATTGAGTGTGAAACAATTGGAAGCTACAAGGAGCCAGCGAACCGATAGGAAGAAACTCCTATAACAGAACTTTAGAGGAAGCCATCGAAAGAGTCGTACGAAACGATATAAAGGAAGGACGAGAGACAACGTTCCACGGAAAGGTCCACGTGGTGTCCCACCCAAGGTTTCGAACTCAAAAATCCCGGGTATTTCCATCTCCCTCTTATGCTTTATTATTTTTCTAATCTCTTCTTCCCTTTTTAGTCGTAAGTAGTGTAAGAATTAGTTATAAGTTTTTTGCCTCGCGTATAGTCGTAATTCTCAATTAATCCGCTGTTTGTTAGATCAAATTAACGCATGTACGTACAGAGATTATTGTATTGTTGGGATCTGAAGAAAAACGAACCTGTTCGAAGCGACAATAAATATCTTTGTGTTAAAGACATCCAACGTGTATTTATTTCGTGCTTTTCCGCTCGCGGGACATTGTACTTGTCGCAATGAAACACCACAGGGGAATAGAATTAAGTTAGAAAATAGATTGATTTGAGTTTTGTCGGGTTGATTCTTATTGACTTTCATTTAAATAAATTGTTATTTGAATTTTACTAAATATTGTATATAGTTATTACTAGAACTTTTATTAAATATTTGATTTGTTATTGACAAACTTTGTCATTATTTAATTCGGTGCATGCTTAAAGTCCAGGCCTGGCACACTAACGCAAATCCGCATAAAGTACCTGTTAGGGAACGGCTATTTCCAGCACACAGTCGTGTTGATAATCGTTGAAAAAGTCGAAAAAATAATAAAGCACTTTACAGTTTGCCGGGCTGTGAACAGCTCATGTATTTGTAAAATCTAAGTGACTCATACAACATGGAATTCATATAACATGGAATTATCAATAGTGCTATAGGCGGGTCTACTGTATTTTAATGCTAGAATGGGACATTCTGATTATTTGTCATGTTTCACTGATGACTGGAAAATTGCTTTGAGAGCTTCAATAGATTCCATTGTTAATGATAAAAGAAAAATTCTCTTCCATTTTTGTGACGTTAATAATTTTGTTTGTTTAAATGGTCTACTGCCAGGAGATGAAGAAGGTAATTTTACCTCCATACAACTAAGGGAAGCAATGTAATTAATTTTGTGAATATCACAAGAAATATTTTCTCATATTATAAATGACTTGTGTGTTTTATCAGAGATAAGTTGTGAACACTCACCCATCAATGATCCCCTTGGTAATTTATCTAACTACCTAAAAGAGGGTTTTTGGACTAATAAACAAATTTGTTATTAGATATATACAAACATCTCCAACCCGATATATAATTATAGCTACAACCAACAGACTGCCGAAAATCTATCGGGCTAGTTTTATGCTACTTATTAGATAAATTACGTAATCAATTTGGTACTAGAGGTAAGCGTTAGGCGCCATCTCTTATTAATATTAATAATTATAAATAATTTTAATTAATTTAAATAATTTGGAACCGCTGGGAGAAAAAATCGGCCCGGAGCGGGACTCGAACCCACAACTCCTGCTTACCGTGCAGATGCGTTGCCAGTTACGCTACCCGGACCTCCGATCCGATCTCCTCTNAAATTATTTAAATTAATTAAAATTATTTATAATTATTAATATTAATAAGAGATGGCGCCTAACGCTTACCTCTAGTACCAAATTGATTACGTAATTTATCTAATAAGTAGCATAAAACTAGCCCGATAGATTTTCGGCAGTCTGTTGGTTGTAAATTTGTTATTAGTCCAAAAACCCACTTTTAAGTGGTTAGATAATTAACTGATTAAGCCAACTAATGTTGCTGGATTTATCTTATCACCTTGGTATCATCTAGAGTTGCTAACAGACAATTTTTTGATAAATATGCAATATGGAAGAATGAATTTAAATCTTCAATTACTGTCACACTAGATAACGTTTTATCGGATGAATGCAAAGGAAACTTCACATCCAATGATCTAGTGGATTGTATAGTTAAAGCAAGCAATGTTCCTGGACTCAATTCACAATGTGAAATCTGTTCCTCATATAAGCCATATAAGAAATGTGTGGTATGATAATGAGTGTTATACCATGAGAAAAATATCTGTGGAAATTGTTTAAGAAAGCAAAAAAGTTAAATACAGTAGAACATTGTGCTTTCTATAAAAACTATTTGAATGAGTATAAAGTATTCAGTCCAAAGAGAAAACATTCTTATTTTTGAAACTTAAATAAGAGACTGGTGTCATGCAAAAATTCTAAAATATTTTGGCAAACAATTAATAGTTTTAAATGGTGCATTAAGTTATAGTTCACAAATTACCTTGGAAAGATGGTTCAAATTCTATGCTGCCGAATTCTCTAAAAAACATTCTTTACTAATTAATGATGAACAACTGTCAATGGATGTGTATAAAGGGTTTCTAATAGAGACAGAATGCTTTACAGATTTTTACATCATATAATGAATCCTAGTGATAACAACATTTTGAAGCTTAGTAGAAGTTATGCTGCACACTGAATACAAGCAATTAAGTATGAAATAAATTGTCATGAAATAAATGAAACTTAAGAAATAGTCGAAAAAAATTCCTAATATGCATGTTATTAAAGTGAGTATTTAGGCATAAATATAATGAAAATAGTTCCTTTAAAAACTCAGAGCAAAACTTGTGGCAAAATTAGTAAATACCTTAATAGAGTGCAAAGTGTAAAAAATGAATGCCAATATTTGAATAAATGTCTTATTTTCTTATTTTAATTTTTGTATTATTGTATAAAATAGCTGTTTACAATGTTAAATAATTTATATCAATAAACGATATTTCATTTAGAACCATAACTATTCTAAAAACGTATGACAACATACTAAAAATTAAAATTTTGTAACTAATCAAATATCAACTCACAAATCTACATTCAGTAAGAGTAATCATAATTACTTATTACAGATCATTTCAAAAGTTTCATTATTTTAACTTTTGTTTTTACAATAACATTTATACTCACTTCTTTTCCTAGATTAGAACCAATTAATCTATCTTCTTTTGAAAATTTTAACATAGGTTTTTTTATTTGAAAAAATAAACTTCTTTTCCAGATTATTGCAGCAGTGATAGGTGGATTATCTTTGTAAATGGGAGGATTATTCTTTTTTTCCATGAAACATTCTTCAATCATTTCAAGCTAAAAACCATTGAACAGAAATAAAATTAATGTAATTTAACTTAAGTTACTTACATATTTAATCTTAAATAAATTCCTAATTCAAATTTACTTTCTAATAATTTTTGTAACAAATTGGCTAAAAATAAGAAAATATTTCAGTCAATATTAGCTAAGATATTTTCTTATTTCAAGTTGCACAAAATAATTTCTAAGATAACTTTCATAACTTTAAAATTCAATAAAATAATGTAATAATAATTCTATGAATAAAATTTTAATAAAACTGAGACCAATAGGATAGAATTTCATATCATAAAATTAGAATAGAATTTCTAAACATAAAAAGTATAAAAAATATTAATATACATAAATTAAACTAAACTTATGTCATTTTAAATTTACAAATGAAATGTTATAATTTATTTTTTTAAAATGAATATTACAATTTAATATATAATATTAATACAAATCAAATACCTCATCTAAATATTGTTTCATTACATCAATATATTTTCTTTCCATTAGTTCATTTGCTGAAGTAAAAATAGTAATTTTTTTAAGACTTTGTAGGAAATCAAATGCAGTTTCTGCTGATGGCATAGACTCAAATATTTCTTCTAAAAAATATCTTATTTCTTCTTGAATATTATCACTCTCATCTAAAATTTGATTAACTATAATCATCCATGCATCTTTTTTACTATTATCAAATATGTCAAAATTTACCTGTAATTAAGAATTTATTTATAAATAAACAAAACAAAACAAAAAAACAAAATTAAAAGTGTATTAAACATCATAGAACTTCAAATAAAAATATTTGGAATAAATAACTATAATTATGATATAAACTAGTTAAAACATCATTTTCTGTTATGTACATGCATATTATGAAAAATTCTTACTGTACGAATATCCAAGGTAATGACTGATGCTTTATTTAGAGATTAAAAAATACATATATACATAAAATATTAATGAATTAATAAAATTAATTTATTGAAAGAACTTATAAGATTTAAATAATAGCCTGCTTGAGTTAAAATTTGAAAAATTTTTAGTTTTACAAAGAAATGAGGAATGCTAACTGTTTAATTTGGAAAGGTAATTCTGAGATTTCTTAAATTTGTGTTTTAATTTAAGTTTTTCTTTGTTTCTATTTAAAATAAAAGCATTTTAATTGTCTCTGTTAATTCCCTTATGACTTCATTTTGAAGTAAAACATTACAATATATTTATATTTTAAAATTTTAAAAAACAGTACATACTGTTTCAATAGGAACTGTCAACTTATGAATTTTGTGAAGAATTATTTCAATTCTAATTGGATCCTGAACAAGTGATTTCATTTCTGGTCCAATAACTGAGTTTAATTCTCCTACAGTCTAGAAAATAAAATTTTATTCAAAATTATTATTATTATAAAATTAATTAAATGTTCCAATTTGAATTTTTAATATCTAAATTTCCTGCATATAACTCACAGGTTATCAATTTTTTAAAGTCAATTTGAGAACATATGCAAATTATGTACTGTAAAAATTTCTGGTTTATATACAGAAGATTATGGCACATAAAATATTCATTTTTATCTAATTAATATGTTATATTCTATTATCAGCATTGCAACAAATATCTGTTGATAATGTATGTTAAAATTATATTTATTATTTTTGAAATTAAAATTCTTCTTCATTTAAAATGAAACAGTTGTAAATTTTATATTTTTATATTATTTTTTACGTATTCAAACTTTTGTTTTGAAATGGCTATCTTTTTCTTATAACAATTATTTCTATCAGACTACCGTATTTACTTGCATATAAGATGACCTCGTATATATGATAAGGTGTGACTTTAAAGATAAAAATAAAGAGAATTACATTTATTAATACAATTCTAATTTTATTTTGTTTAATCACAAATAAAATATTATCAAATACACATAAATGCACACTTTGTCCCACAAAAATTACTTACAAAAATAAATTATTTTAAACTTTAAGGAAAAATCTTGTAAAATCGACAACATAATTTGTTCATGTAAAGTTTGACAATCAGCAACTTTTTTTGCCAATTCTTAACAGTCGAATCCACTCTCCATTAAGTATGCATATGAATTTCTCCAAATTCTGATTTCCAAATAATCATCTGTTTTCACGTGGAAATGAATTAAAACTTATATCATGCTCCCATGTGATTTTGGAATTTCAATCTGGAATTCAATTCAAAAGTTTTGCTTTTCCTATTGCTATTCATCTTTACTCCTGACAATATACAAGAACAATTCAAACAACCCAGATAAAATAATTACATTTTTAAATACAAGAGGGTAAGTATCTGATAAAAAATGTGAACACATGGTTCACAAAAATTATTTGTAAAAATGCAAAGAATCTTTTGCTCATGCATATAAAACAACCTAGGAATTTGAAGCTGCAATAAATAAATAAAAACCTCGTCTTATATGCGAGTAAATACAGTATAATGTTCTAAAAATAACAGTAATTATCAGGGCTGTGGAGTCACGTAAAAATCTACTGACTCCAACTCCAACTTTTCCTTACCATCTGACTCCAACTCCAACCAGGGGTGGACTTGTTACCAAAAGAGACCTGGAAATTCTGATGTCATCACGTGACCTCAGAATAAAATATTCAATAAGTAAAGTTGTAATAAAGATAGAGCGTAGAAACTTTTTATTCCAAAGCTAAAAGACTTCTCTAAGTAATATATAAATATGTATTCAATAATTTTTATTTTTCCAACTGTTATATATAACAGAAGGAAAGTGTAGCGCTCAGTCAAAAAATGACCCCTCCCAAATTTTTACATTTTTGGACTCAGGAATACCGTGAAATTTCGAGATATGCAAAAGATTCGAGGTTTCTCTATATGTGTGGATGTTAGACTGTGTGGGGGCATAATTTTGCTCACCCTGTTTGAAGCCTAATAATTTCTGTGGTCAGAGTGGTTAGAATCAGAGTCATATGGTTTAACACAGGAGTTAGTTATTAAGCGTCAAAGTGGTTGAACTAAATCATGTCCCCATATACATTTTAACATCTTAGGCGAGAACATCTTAACGGGTTTTACTGTACTATTATAAAATGACAAAAAAGCTTACTATGAGGGTAGAGACGACTTTTATTTTATTTTTTTAAATTTTGAATGCTAATAACAAGTAAAATATTCATTAAGAGATATGACACATGACCACTTTTATGTCTTCACCCTGTCGACCTTTAATTAAGAACCAAAATTTAATAGTATTAATGCCCCTTTCTATGCAAGCTACAGTGCCACATTTCGTTTCTTAAACTTTACCCATTCTGAGATATTCTTTAATATCTCAGAACAGAAAATAAAAAAATTAAACAAATTAGATGCCAACACACACACACACACGCACTAATTTTTCCTCTTTTATTGACTTTTTTGAGGGGTTCAGGAGGTCTCCAAATGTGCAGCTTTGCAAAAAAAAAAGCTTGGAGGATCAAATTTGACACGATTCCAATACTTTTCCGTTTTATATACATAACAAGTTGGTAAGTAAAAAGGAGTCAGAGTTGGCAGATTTTTTGATGACGCCAACTCCGGCTAAAACACCAAAACTCCACGACTCTGATTCAACAGCTCTGGTAATTATGGTTATGTTTTCACAGTTGAATAAAAACTATTCAAAAAATGACTGTCATTAGATATTTAACCAGATTATAACAACAAAAAAATCTCATTCCAATAAAACGTCTTAATAATATTTCTAATAATATTTTATTTTTTTACATAACACTACAAATACACATGTTTATTTATATTACATATTGCAAATTTAATATTTCTTGATTTTATTATGGATGTATAAATTTTATAATACTTAAAACTTTTGTCTTTTATTATGATAATGTACAGTAAAACTTCTCTAACTCAAAATTCAAAGGGGCAGTAAAAAACCTTGAGTTACAGACAATTTGAGTTACTGAACAATAGAGTAAAAAAATGCCAATTGTGAATAGATTTGTATTTTTACCTCTCTTGCATTATATAAAGAATCTTTGATAGTTAGTTTTTTTTAAACAGCCAATGTAATGCCTTTCAGCAAAATATTCAATGTAACTAATGGAAGTGAACAGCTTTGCAGGTACTGTACATCTACATTGTTTGAAAATTGGTTTTGGAGAGTAGATACCACTAACTGAAAATTTCATTGAAATCCAGTAATTAGGATCATTTTGGATAGAATAAATATTAAAATTCAATTTGGGAAAGTTGAAAGTAACATAAATCAATGTTTGGAGACTGTGAAAAACTTTGACTTGGAGAAAATTTGAGTTAAGAAATTCAAGTTGGAGACATTAAATCTCTATGCTATTTCAGTGAGACCTACAGAGTGCTTTGTTTTCTTTGAATTAAAGAAATATTTGAATTACTGATGTTTGAGTTAGGAAGTTTTACTGTAGTTACGAGGGCTGTTCGGAAAGTTCGCGGCCTTACCTATATGCAGCGTTGCAATCAATTTAATTTTTGGCGGGAATAATTCAGCCATCTGTGCTAGAGATACAATACCAATTTCGGCTTGATTTGTCAAAAAGTTTTGCCACGACAGCTTAGCAGATAGTCAGTGTGCACATGCTTTGTCAAAAATGGAGAAGACGGAGACTCATGCTGTCATAAAATACCTGACAAAAAAAGGGTTGACCCCATCTCAAATCAAAGCTGACATGGATGAAGTTTTGGGAAAGTCTGCTCCTTCGAACACCAATGTTAAAAAATGGACAGCCCTTTTTAAATCTGGCAGAGAAAGTGTGGAAGATGACCCTCGCAGCAGAAGGCCGTCAAACTACTGTCACTGAAGAAAATATCGACAAAGTTCACGATTTGTTATTAGCAGATCACCGTTTGAAAACGCGTGAGATAGCTGAGACAACAGGCATCTCTGTCAACCGAGTGCACCACGTCCTAACCGAAAATTTGAGTATGACGAAGGTCTCAGCAAGGTGGGTGCCGCGTCTGCTGACCGCCGAGCAAAAACGTGTTCGCACTTTGATGTCAAAGGAGTGTTTGGACTTCTACCAGAAAAACCCACAGGATTTCTTGCGTTGGTTTGTGACTACTGACGAAACATGGATCCATTACTACACTCCTGACACAAAAGAACAGTCAAAGCAATGGAAACACCACAGTTCGCCACCACCAAAGAAGGCAAAGGCAGTTCCATCAACGGGGAAAGTGATGGCCTCGGTTTTTTGGGATGCTAAAGGCATTATCATTATTGACTACCTAGAAAGAGGAACGACCATTAATGCTGTCTATTACTGTGAACTTTTGGAAAAATTGAAGAAAGAAATCGAAGAAAAAAGGTCACACTTGAAGAAGAAAAAGGTTCTGTTCCACCACGATAATGAACATGCAGATTCCGCTAGAATCACTGAACAAAAGATAAACGAACTTCGCTTCCAAATAGTTACACATCCACCGTACTCACCTGATTTGGCCCCCAGTGACTTCCACCTTTTTCCAAACCTAAAAAAATTCTTTGCTGGAAAGAGATTCCACTCAAATGACGAAGTCATCTCTGAAGTGAACGAGTATTTTGCACACCTTGACAAATCAACCTATTGTGATGGCATAAAAAAGCTAGAACATCGCTGGAATAAGTGCATTGCTAACAAAGGAGCCTACATTGAAAAATAAAAAAAGTTTTAACATTATTTTGTTTGTTGTTCTATTTGAAGCCACGAACTTTCCGAACAGCCCTCGTATAATTCATGTTAAAAACTTGAGATATTATTCATATAAATTATCAGTTTTATCTATATATTTTTAACATCAAATTATTAAAAATTAAAATCATAATTAAAACAACTGATTATTAGCTACATAATATTTATTTAAATAATGGATTTATATTAATAATGTATTATAAAAGAGCTAAAATAAATGCTGTTTAATCTATTAATAATTGTAAAAACAAAACCTAAAGATAGCCATGTTTTATTACTTATAACATTTCTGCATATAGCTACTGTATCAAGTAAAATGACTTTTCATATTGTTGTTAACATTTTGCTCTTAATACTTAAATAAACTACTAAAACAATCTCAGAATTAAAATTATTAGCATTGATAAAATTATTTGTAGTAGTTTTCAGAAAATTTTCATTAATATTTGCAAAATGATATAACTATCTGATTTTAATCTTGTCTTATCTTGTACCATTGGCACTGCTTTATTCTGAATGAGGTGACTAACAAAGGAAATTTGCATGCATGGTGACCTGTTATGCATTTTATCATTAAAATTTCAAGATTGTCAGCTGCAGTAGTACTGTGACATATAAGCATGAACTGCTACAGACTAGCATCGTACTGTCTGTCAATGAATCCCAATCCTGTTTGAAAATGAACAGCTAATGCATTATAGTATGGAGAACCACTAGTGAGTATTTCAATCCCACCTTTACTGTTGAATGGCATACAGTCCCCTACTGGCATGCTGATATGGGAGCCATCTCATACGACAGCCAGTCACCCATAGGAATAGTGCAAGGACATTGATGGCATAGCAGTATGTTCAAAAGATGTTGCCTTTCGTGGCAGGGGTACAAACAGCCAGCCATTTTCCAGCAAGATAATTCTTGGCTGCACACAGCTAGGGTTTCCAATCATGTTGCCACACTTCCTGGTTTTCCAGTCTCCAGATTTATTACCCATGAAGCTTTTATAGGACCAGATAGTACACCATCTTCATCCATCTACAAGTGTGAAAGATCTGACACAGCAGCTGCAATATCCATAGACCATTCAGTGCATGCTCAACCATGCCCAACCATATTGCTTCATGTTTCCAGGAAAGAGAAGGTCCTATAAGGTACTAAAGGTTCTTTAAATACTATTGCTGTTTCCAGAGAAAATTGTCCCTTTCTATGATATCACTTATAATCATTACAACACATTACTAATAAAGTTTCATTCAATTTCAATACATCCTTGGTGCATAACTTTTTAGTCAATATGTGTATTTTCTTTCCAACTTTTTCATATTTTATGAGGTAGAAATAAAGCAATATTTCTAATCAAGTCAACATTTTCTTAAATATAATATAATGCATTATTACATTACAATACAATAAGATATTGTGGCCGACGGCCATGATTGTGTAGATCTTTTGTATATTTTTATTTGAATTAGTTTTAAGTTCCTTCCTATCTCTTTGTTCAAAAATTCTTTCTAGAACATTCCCCCTTTTCTAGAACATTAACCCTTCTTCCTTGGGGTAAGATTACCAATTTCTGGAACATACACAAACAAAAGAGAATGTGAAGCCCAGAGACAAAATGGCTGAAGAGAAGTGAGTCTGGGGATGGATCCCGAAGAGAAACGCACGGAGAAGGCAGTGCTCCTAAATGCAAAAATAGAGTAAAGAAAAATCATAAAAAAGAGTAAAACAACAAAAAACAACAAAAAAGAAGTCATAGAACAGCAAACATTGAATAGAATATCAAGATCAGTAAGATACAAGGAGGTCAACGACAAAAAGGCTAAAAGAATTTTATAAAAGGAGAAAAGACTTGAGAACGTGTTTGCATCTTACCCCAAGATACATCAACACAAAAATCCCGGGTATTTCCTGATCTTTTTTTCTTAGTCCTTCATTCTTAATTCCTATCCTTTCTATTTCCTTTAGTTGTAAAGTAGTTTGTAAGTTACTTGTAAGTTAGTTGTAAGCTAGAGTTAGTTAGATTGTCCTGCGCTTATGTGTCATGAATTAATAGAATCTTGATGGTTGGATAAAGAAATGTTCAATGCCTGAGTACCTGAAATAATTTGAGGTCGACAAAAAGTTGAGATCTGAATAAACAAAAGAACCAGTTCATTGAGAAAAATGAAATACATTTTGTGGGTTCCCAGACGAGGTTTAAAGTTGAGTAAACCACGAATTTCTTATGTAACACCAGATGTAAACAACGAGACTCTTGTTGGCCGAGATAAACCTTCTCGAATAAAAAAAGGGAAATTTTTGATAGATGAAAATGATCGTTAAAATTCTTATACATCAAAAAAGAGTACAGGTAGCCCTCGGTTTACGCTGGTTCAATTTACGCTGATTCACAATAACGCCGCTGCACAATTCACGATTTTGCTTTTGTAATTCCCCGATTTTCCCTATGTTAGACTGATTTTCGTTTCAGTGTTGATGTATTTACTGAGCCGCTATGTTGTACATTCATTAAAACAAAGATTTTTATTGAATATATTTATTAAATTAATATTAAAATACTAAACGTTTAGGTACCCACGAGCCAAGTTATCAAACTTAATAGTCCAATAAATGGCATCCGAATCCATAGTGCCATTGAATTTATCCCATATCAATTCATTCAGGAAAACACCTTACAACTCAGTAGCACTTCCGGCAATCACAAACTATCATTAGTGAGACAAATCTACTTCTCATTGGCCAGACAATATCTATCTCTCCTTAATTTTCCCGCTCAAACTGACCTTACATATGCACTACGGCGACCAGTGGTCGATGAATCAGTGTCTCCGCTCGTCCATAGCTCTATGTTAGGTTAACGTATCCTTTCAACTATGGAAAGTTTGATGGTTGAACTTTGTGAGTTAGACAATGATTGGGAGCAAAGTGCAAATGTAAAAAGGAGCATCGTCGCATCCATTCGACCATATTCCGAAATTCTCAATGAAAGAAAACAAAAATAAAAACAATTAAAGATGGATACTTTTTCCGAAAAATGTAAGAGATTGAAAACTAAAATTTTTAATAAAAACATTTAACTTTACAGTAGAGCGTTGATTTTCCGAAAGTCAATCATCCGAAACGTCAATCATCCGAAAGAATTCCAGTCGGCAAATTTAAATTTTCACCAGTGCTGTGGCGCTTCAATCTTTGGCTATGTCTTGGGCTACTCAAATATTTTATATTTTTGATACTAAATTAACATCTGAAGTATAATTTTTTATTATTTTTATATTTTTCAATATATTTATTTTGTTTGTACAAAATAAAAAAATAATTTTTAATGATACAATAGTCTTTGTTATGTTTAACATCGATGAAAATTCAATGCGAAGCGACACGCAATGGAGAAAAATTTCGACATCAGATACGTTAAACTATTTTTTCGTACGTAAATCAGTTATCCGAAATATCAGTTATCTGGACAACCCCAGTCCCCAATTGATTTGGAAAATCGACGCTCTACTGTATTTCCATTTTTACTATTTTAACTANGCGTATTTTTCACTTATGTGGAACCTAATCCTATACCTCAGTGTAAATATGGGTTCGTTTTATACCAATTTGATTTGCGCCGGCTTTTGTAGGAACGGAACTGCAGCGTAAACTGAGGGCTACCTGTATAAACAAGGGCCTGAATTATGAGTGCAGGTGTTATTGTTTTATAAACAATCTCAGGGCAGAGTCGACAAAGAAGTATCAGATGGACACCGCAAATCAGACCTTTCCCACAACCTGATGAGGTTTCGTCTTGCACCTGGAGACAAAGGAGAGACCAATCGGAAAGCAAGGAATGGGATGAGGGACCAATCTGAAAAGTGAATCGCGGGAGAAAAACTATTAAAAAAATCGGAATTTCAAGATCAAAGAACAGTCTCCTCTGGATTAAGCTCACCGTGTGTTTTATATAGTGAATTGTGTCATCACCCAAGACGTCTCTGTGACTCTCCGATCATCCCCTACATCCCGCAATCCCATCTCGCCCACCCCAGGGCTTCAACGGAAAGGAAAATACTCACTATCCCAAAGAAGTGGAACTGAACTGTCAATTATTGATGTAAGCATCAATGTTACCAAATAAACGCCTTTTTCTTTTGTAAACACTTGTCATCACTTGCCTCCTTCACCACACCCACATGCAACCTTTCCTTAGGTTCATCCTGATGCAGGATTAACAGATCCCACCTAAAAGACAGCAACCTTATACAGGTGTCAAGGAATGGATTTTCAAATCCATTATCTCCACCGGGTCGGTGACATTACAGTTTTGTTACAAATTTTTATAAAGTTTATTTTATTGTACTATTCTGCTTCCAGGATCCAATACATCTCATTTACAAACATCACAATATAATACATTAAAACAACATTTCATTAAAATTCAGTTACTTAAATTACAAACTTAAAAATAATATTGATTGTTTCCATACATCATTATCCATACTGTATATGGATAAAGACAAACAAAACACCTTTTTTGCCGAGAAATAAATATAATTTTAAAAAACAAACGTTTTCAGCCTAGTTAATAGGCTATCTTCAGGTCGAAAAATGGAACGTAAATGTTCCATGAATAGAACATAAAAATTTTTTAAATCAAAAATTTTACAAGAGAAAAAAAAAAATGCAGAAATTTTCAGTCTATATATTAAATAAAATTTCTGCATTTTATTGAAGAATTTTTTATATAAAATAATTAATAAATGAACTAAATTTTTATGAATAAATCCATAAACATCTTTTAGCACTTACAATTCATTATCAAAAACACAAGTATCATTCATAAAAAAGAAAAGTTAGAAAATATAATACTGAAATAGTTATTAATTGACAACAATAAAAGGCATTATATTCTTTAAAGCAAATTTTCATTTTTTAACATCTGATTACCATCAGAAATATAAAGTTTAGCTGATGATTGATTTTTATCATAAGATTTTTAAAATATATGGATATCAGATACTAGTCAATATTTATGTACAGATTAATACATAGATTATTTTCAGATATTTACTACTTGTTTCATAATTTGTCAAAATTTAAATGCAAAATTTTTAATACTAATATAATTTACATTTAATCTCATGAACATTTTTATGAATAAGCTAATGCATAATGTACAATTTAACCGATTTAATTAAAAATATATTATGTTACAACTTTCTTTAAGGTAATGTTCTTATCTTAAAGATATTTTATCTATAAAATAAATTTTTCAATATACCTACCTTTCCAATCCTATTAAGATCTTGACAAATGTAGGCAATATAATCAGTTCTTTCAAAAAGTCTTGCTCGATCAAATTCCCAACGAGGAATTTGTCCAAAAGTTTCTATATTTGCACGTACTTTGAGATAACTCTTTTTCCAATTATCTAATAAAGAGTATGCTAGAAATGTTACATCCTGTGCCTGTAAATATTTTTAATATTATGTTAATCTTTAAATTGAGACCAAAAAACTACATAATTATAACAGAATCCACTTTATAGATATTAAAATCTTCATTTAATATTATCAGAATTAGATATCTAAAAATATACAAGTTAAAATACAATTAGAAAACTTTGTTTATTGTAATCACAATTTTGGTTATAAGGTGCTCCACAAAAGTATAGAACAGCTCAAAAACTTGGTCTTTTGAGGTCAGAACATGCACTAATAGATAGAAATAAATTTTTTTTATGTGTAATTCAGCACCTAACTTATAAAAATGTAATTTTAGGAAACTTGAACTTCTAATTCATGGCTGACTGCAGAATAGCAATGAAGTCAATTTACTTACTGCCACATAAGTATAAAACAGCCATCTTTCTTGCAAGTTTGAAGTGTAAAAGTATTTTTTTCATCATGCCTTATGGTACCCATTTAACAGACTTTGAGAAAAGACAAATTATAGCTTTAAGAAGCACTGATTTAAGTCATCAGGAGTAGCAAACAGCATCAAGTGTTTGAAAAAGGTAGTTCAGCATTATTTGTGAAATCCTGCAGAGCATTATGGACCAAAGCGTAAAAGTGGACATCCTTTAAAGCTTACCCCACGAGACCGCAAACGAATTGTTAATGCAGCCTCTAATCTACCACATTCACACATCAAATTTGTGTATTCAAGTACATCATAAAACCATTTGATGGGTTTTACACAACAACAACAACAACAACAACAACAACAACAACATTGTTCGATCTCAAATGAGAAATGCCCCTTAAGCCTGAGCATAAAGCTAGCCAACTCAAGTTTGCTAGAAAAAATATGGCCATTCAATGGAACAAGGTAAATTTTTTGTTTCATTTAGACCTATTGTACTAGCACAAGAAATAACAATCTTTTTGTTGTATAGATAATCTTTTGAGATGAAAAAAAATTTAATTTGGATGAGCCAGATGGTTTAGTGTTCTACTAGTGTGATATATGAAAAAAAGCCAAGTACTTTTCAGAAACTTTGGTGGTGGGAGTGTTATGGTTTGGGGTGATTTTTCTGCATTGGGAAAATTGGATTTGGCCTTTGTTACCTGTCGCATGAACAATACTGACTATCAGCAAGTTCTGGAGAACAAATTGCTGCCATACAAATGTACAGTAGATTCAGAAGAATTCCTGTTATTTTCCAACAGGACAATGCATCTATTCATGTATCACGAGATATGAAAATAAATAGAAAATAAATGGATTGGCCAGTTTGTTCTTCTAATTGCAACCCTATAGAAAACATTTGCGGGATCTTGGTTGGCCAAATTTATGACCAAAATCATCAGTATTCCGACGTCAAACACTTAAAACAAGAAATTGTCACTGCTTGAAACTCCCTTGAGGCATCAATCATAAAAAACTTTGTTGATAGCATGACAAATCATATTTTTGATGTTATTAGTAAAGGAGATGTACAAATAAATTACTAAACTAAACATTTTTTTGTAGTATTTAGTGCTTTTTGCATTCATTTACTAGTTGATTCTATACTTTTGTGCTTCTTAAAATCAGTTTTTTTACAAGTAGGAAACTGAGTTTTGACAAATTATGTTTTCATAAATCCTGAACAATATAAGAAAGTTAGCTACATCATATGTGTAATTTCTAACCTTCATATAGTGAATTTTCAGCAGTTCTATACTTTTGTGGAGCACCTTAGTTATCATTAAACCTTTATGTAAATAGACATTTTAAAGCTGTATTTTCACACTATCAACATCAACATGTGACTTACAATGCACAATTGTTATCATTATCAGTATTAACCAGTGCTATGAACTTTAAATGTTAATCATTTTAATCTTTACTTGATCACAGTACAGTAGTATTAACTGTTGGTATTTCTTACTTCAATTATATACTAGCTGTTATTAATTAAAGATGATACTGAAAAAAATGACAGTCAAACAATACTGGTCAAATTGATATTAATTAATAAAGATAATTATAATTGTTATATCTTAAAGTTTATCTTTTTTTAACTGTTTTAAAATATATTTTCAAAAACAATCAATAAAACTAGAATTTCCATTAATTGTAATCATATTTACTTATCCTACTTAATGTTATCAGTACAGGTAAGTCCCAAAGGGATTACAATAAGTAGACTCTTCTGTATTTTAAGTCTAAAAATTTACAAACTTTAAGTGATTTTAACTTCTAATTGATACATTTTAATTATATAAAAGTTAAAAATAGCATTATATTATTTGGACTTTACATTAAATATATTTGAAAGAAATAAAAACTTTTATTGAAACATAAAAATCAGTTGTTAAATAAAAAAGAGTTGAATTTTAAAATTAAAAAAAAAATCTTTAAAATACTTTAAAAATACAGCAGAACTTGATTAAGACATTTTTCAAGGAACCAATTTAAAAATTTTCTTAAGCAGATATGAAAAAAATATCACTTTTCTTTCATTAATCCATATTTATTTAACAATGTTCTGCTACATTACAGTGAATTAGGCTTACAACTATTTATTGTATTCATTTAGATATTTGTCTAACATAGGTTCATGGTTTTGTTATGTGAGGGAAAAAATATGTTTTATGATTCCTACAAACAAAACCACAGATCTACAAATACCATAATAAAACTCACTGAAAACTCAACATTATCATCCATGTATTGATAGCACTTATCAGAATTTGTTGTTTGCTAGATTATCACATGAAAATGTAAAATCCATGTCTAAAGTAGCTCAAAATCATGCATATAATGACACAAAATTTTGTACATTTTTTCCACATGCAATTAAATGTATAATAATTTCAACAGGATGCAGTTTTGAACATTGCAACACATCAGTATTTTATTTTTAAAATTAGATCTTATTCAAATTTGAATGGTTGGTTGGTTGGTTTGTTAAGGTTTTTTGGCACAAAAGCCATATAGGCTATGCTGCGCCATGCCAAATGGTAAAATTAAAAAGGTCATATATACATATATTAAAAATTAATAACAAATAACAATAACAAACATATACAACAGTAACAATAAATAAAAACAAGGTATATAAAAGTATAGATAAATGAATAGGTAAATAAATAAATATTCAAATTTGTTTATAAATATTAGTGACTTTCAGAAAGTCTAGTAAATTATTGACATTTGGCCTTTGGCCAAGGATTTCTGTCAGACAAGCATTTCCGAAATATTGTCTATGCCTTGTCTTGAAAGCAGAGCAATTGCACAGCATGTGTTTTACACTTAGGGTGCAGTTGCAATACTCACATACTGGCTGGGCTTCACCCTTCAAAAGGTATAAATGAGTAAACCGAGTATGCCCAATTCTCAAACGAGTAAGAATTACTTCAAATCTCCTGTCATAATGTTTGTTACGTGTCCAATTTTCTATATTTGGCTTGATCTCGTGTAGTTTATTGTGGATTTGTGCATTCCACATGTTTTGC